GTATGTTTGAGCATTTGGGGGGAATTGACAAATTTTCATCTAAAATCCGCCTGTAGGGGGACACGAACGACCTAAGAGTACGACCTACTATCAGCATGCGATCGCGTCACAGCGCTTGTTTCCGCGCGGGGCTGCATGGGGGCCAGGTGACTGGGAAGCCCGAGATCTGCTTGCCGGGCACCCTTATGAGCGACAAGGCCTCTGACGCGTGGGTCCTTCCCCTCCCCTCCCTTCCTACCTTGAAGTCGGGCCTGTCCCTGCACAGGAGGAATATTCCAAAATACGGTGGAGATAAAAAACAAAAAAGTCTGGGGACGATGTTTTTACTATGTTTTGCTATGTTTGAGCTTTTTGTGATTAATTCCTTCGCCCAAAATCCGCCTGTGGGGGGACCTGCCCGACGTAACCCTACTCGCAATCCTGTTGATCCTTCCTCCCTCCTCCCTCGTCCCCCTGCTACATCCTCCTTCCTCCTGCCCTCCCTGCCTCCCTACCCTCCCTCACTGCCTCCCTTCCATCCTCGCCCGCCACTTTCGACCAGGCCCTGTATGACTGGATCCGCTCCGAGGGCCCGGCGCACCTGGACCGGGGGGTCAGGGTCGTCGGCGAGCGAGGGGGGGAAGTGAGAACGGGCGGGCCTTCTCAGAGGTCTCGGAAGTCCCCCGGCCTTCCGAGCAGGCTGTCTAAGCTTTCCCCGAAGGCAGAAAAAACCTTTCAGAAGTCGCGGGGGCGTTTCCGAGAAGTCCCGCCGCCTCTTGAGAAAGCCTTCTTCTTCTTCTCACTTCCCCCCCTCGCTCGCCGCCGAAGGACGGGACGCCAGCGTGGCGCCTCCACACGGGCGCGTGCGCGGAGGCGGGGGAGAGGAGGCGGGCGCCGGTGCGGCGGCCCCCGAGGAGGCAGAGGCAGAGGCCGCGGGAGGGCCCGCGCGGGCTGCCGCGGCCGTGGGCGTGCACCGCCGGGGAGGTCGGCGGGACCGGCGCAGATCAGGAGGGAAAAAAACTGTTTGGTCTGCGGGTCGGGAGCGGGCCCTTTCCGGTCAAGAGCTAAACGGGACGCGGGTAGCCCTAATTGGGGAGACAGGGCGCGGGCGGGCGGGGCCTCAGGCGGCCAGAGGGCTCAGAAAACAGGCGGTGCCGAAGATCTTGCACAGGACAAGGTGCGCCATGGACTGGATCAGGAGGCGCGGTCCCACAGGGAAAGTGGATTGGTGTTGAGGAGGGAAGAGACACACAGACACGATGAATCGTCGATCCCCCCGAAAATATAGGAAAAAATTGGCAGCGGGGGGGGGGAGGGAGACACCCAGAAAGTATGAGAAAATGTGGGGAAGCCTTTTCTTTGTGTGTGTATTTATTTGTGTGGCCCAGGGCCCCTTCAGCAGACGGCGCACCGGCCAAGGCGCAGGGGTGGGCGGCCGTGGGCTGCGGGCCGCGAGGCGAGGCGCCGGGGCGGCGAGCCGCGGGCCAGCGGATGGCTTCTGCGGAGGGCGAGGGCGCAGCTCTCGTTGTTTCTCGGTGGCCAACACCACGATCCCAAGAAGAAGAAGAAGATATAAGAAGAAGAAGAAGAAGAAGAAGATATAAGAAGAAGAAGAAGAAGAAGAAGCGGCCGAAACGTCATCTTTTGGCGCTCCGCGCGGATTTCTTGGATCCGCGCTGGGCTCCTCCGGGCGGCGCCCCTGGCGCCGCCCCTGGCGCGCTCCGCGGGGACCAGCGCAGGTCCAAGAAACCCGCGCGGAGCGCCAAAAGTCTATGTTTCTTCTGCCGTTTTTTCTTCGTCTAGCCCCGAGTCTGCCGGCGCGTCCCTCTGGATGCATGCCCTGGCGAGCGAGTGGGCGAGGCGGCAGGTGATCGATCACATCCAAGACACCTCTGTGTGAGACGGAGTTTCTTTGTTGGCTTCTGACCCTCAGCGCGCGCTCGGTGCTGGCTTACCACTTCTGTCGGGGCTGGAGAATGTTCTTGGGCGTGGGTCAGCTGCCGCTCGAGTGTTTTTACCGTCCACGCATGCCCGCCCTTTTGCTGGTGTCCTCCCTGCGGCCACGCGGTGCGAACGCAGCTGCACAGTGTTTGTCGCAGCACGAGGCCCGAATCCAGTTCGAGATAGAGGCAATGGCTCTGCGATCGCCGCCGCCCGATCAGAGAGCCTGGTCTCGACATTTGTGGTTGATCGGCCGGGTTTCGTTTGTTGGTGCCGCGGGATGTTTGGTTGAAGCGAATCTCGATCTATGGTTCATTGCACCACGTCCTTCGGGTCTCTGAATGTTGTCTGACCGCTGGAATCGGAGCCGTGCAAACAGTTAGCTTTTAGTTGTTGGTAAGTCTGCTGGGGCGGTTTCGCGGGCGTCGTTCATTGCCTTGGTCGTCGACGCTTGATCCCCACACGGTTGCATACGTCTTCTCAGCAATGACGATGTGTGTGGCATGGTCAGTCTTGTGCCGTGTTGCCAGCGCTGATTGAGGACTCGATTTCACGGGAGACCTTGGAGTGCGTCGATGTCAGCCGCAATTGTCTCACGGATGAGGAGCGGGCGTGGAAAGAGTACGGCAAAGGAACGTGTGAGGATTGAGCACAGGGCTATAGTTCAGGGTGGTCGGATAAGGCGTAGTTGCAGTTGCAGTGAAAGCGATATTTGGAAATGTGTCACGTGCTACGGGTTGCCATCACACACATTCATTGATTGACAATGTTCATGGGTTGTGGGTGTTCGGTTCCTTGTCACGTGTAGGATGTTTCCGAATCCACAGGTCAGTGTCGTAAGCTCCATCCGATTACTTCACCGAACGTACAAATGTAAATATGAGATCACCTATAACAAAAACCAGTGCGAGCAAACTCGACAGTCACGTGCATGATACTCCTGTTGTGAGTAGATGACGAATAATGGTTCGTGCTGGTCCTATCCTACACTCACCGAGGCCCCGAATATGGGTGCTGTTGAACCCGTCACGGCCCCAATCAGGTGCATGCAGTTTCTTGCGCCGTATTGGTGCTGCCTTGGGCTCATGCGGGACCGTATAAGATCCCTTTTGGACCGTCTTGGTTTTGTCGTGGGTCGTATGGGATCCTTCTCGGCTGTCTTGGTAGTCTCTTGGCGGTGTCGTGGAGCCCTCTTAGGTCATCTGGGGTTTCTCATGAGCTGTCCTGGGCCCCTCTTGGGCCGTGTTGTGGCTCTCTTGGGGTTGTTATGGGCCGTCCTGGGCGGCGGTTGGAGGCCATCATTGGGCTTTTGGTTTGGGCACGTGAGTAGCTCCTCGGAGGCCGTCTTGGACCATTATCGAGCCGAGAGGCCGAGAAAGCAAAGCAGGTTGGACAGCTTGTGGATGTCCTTGGGTTTGCGAGAGCTGTTGGCCTTCCTGGAGATTCTCCTGGCCTTCGTGTAGATGTGATGGAGGCCTCTTGTGACCCCGGTTGGTGCATCTTGGGATCTTATTGGGAGTTGGTGGGTCGCTATCAAGGCAATCCTCGTCCTTGGTGGCTTAGTTGGGCCGCCTTGAAAGCCTTGGAGGGCCCAGAAGCGCCATTGGGAGGTTTTGCCCAGCCGGGAAGCATGAGGATGGGGGGATGCACGCAGAATCTTGTGTCGAGAGGAAGCGGCCCTTGGAGGAATATCAGAAACCCGACCAGATAGTTCTTGCAACCCACCACGCCCTAACTTGCCAGGGCGGCAAGCAGGTGGATTTGTGTTGGTGAAGGCGGGTTGAAGCTACATTGCGTATCAGACAAAAGTTCATGGGATGGTAAAATTTAGTTCAAACCAGGTTGACAACCACCATGCAGTGCCACCTACTACGGCATCGAATTGCGCAGTGGTGCTGTGAATTATGTTGCGGTGCGTTGTTCCCAAATAGCTTGGCATCGCTCGGACGTGTGCATTTTTCCTTCGGCGAGGGCCATCGAGGAACATACTTGACCATTTGGCGGAAAAAACACGCACGAAACCGAAAAACACACACACACACACACAAAAAAAAAAATGGACGTCCGAGCGATGGCGAGAAATAGCCCCTTGGAGAGTTAAAAGGGCCTCAGATCAGAAGCCAGCGCCGCAGGATGGCCCCAGAGGTCGTTCCGGCTTCCGGCAGGACACTTCGCGGCTCCTCTTGTGGCCTTCCAGCGGGTCCTCGACCGGTGTTTTCCTAATTGTTTCCCAGTGCGTGTGCCGTCCAGCTTTCCACTCGCTCCTTTGAAAGCTCCTTCCACGAGCTTTCAGCGCCCCTTCCAGAGGCGTTGGGAGGCCTGATTAGCGCTCCGCTATGCGGGTTTTGGACTTCATAAGTTGTTAGTTGTTCATTACAACTGAATTGCGCTGCTTGCTGTATTATACCGCGCGCTTGCGTGTTGTAATGTCAATTACGTTGCCTGGTCTTGTTTTGGTGTGTCTTACGCTCGCCGTGGAACGCATGGCTCTGCGTTGGTCGGCAGCACAATGTTGCGATTCAGCGCAGGTCAACGACATGCAATGCCAACTATGCAGCGCAAAGCAATTCAACGCGAAGCAAATGCAGTGCAACACATTGGCATGCGACGCACCACAAGTTGAGATAAGGCTTGATTTGCGCGGGTGCTCAGCCTCGCTCCATGGATACACACAGGAAGATCGGCCGCCCATAAGGATCTGGCCACTGACCCTCTTCGATGTGAGAATGGCGTGCTTCGAAGCGAACCCGAACGGGGGAAACAAATTCCTCCCATTGGAACATGACGATCCTCAAAGATGTTGGTTCAGTTTTGTTGGGGTGATTTTGCAATGTGTTTCTTATGCGCTGGAAGAGAATTGTTTGAGTTGAGCTTGGAGCGTAGCCAGAGATGAAGGAAAGAAGCCGGAGCAGGAGACGGAGAAGGATCAACAAGAGATGTTTGTTGTGGAGGGGGAAAGAGTAGCAGCAGCAACAACAGCATCATACGAGCTAGGATTGTATGCATGAGTGGAGAGCAGCTTCATGTACTCCTCGCAAGGGGGGCATGGGCAGGGCGCGAATGCGCTACTCGATTTCTTGATGCGTCAGAATCGGCCCACGCGTCGGCTGAAGCTGTTCAACAACCGGTTGAGGCTGGATGCAGAGCAGGGGTCTTTTCTCTTTCGTTCCCACGTGTGTCCCGTTTGTTTCATTTTAGTTAGTCCATCCAGCTCGCGTCATTCGGCTAACGGGTCTAGCGGCGCCCTAGATCATTCGGTTTGCACAACTCGGACAAGACTTGGTTTACCATTGGCTTCGGTGAAGATAAAAGTCTCGTCTACTGCATGTGTTTGTGGACATCGAGTCCAGAGTTGGAAGGAGGGGGAGGAGACGGAAACGAGGGATGAGCAGGTGGGGGGGACGGGAGGAGGTGAGGAGAGGGGGGGCGTGCGGGCGACGGGATGCAATGAGACAAAGGCTGAAATAAGCAGGTGTGGTGTGCGCGAGGCGGGCGTCTTCTCTTCCTCCTCCTCCTCCTCCTCCTCCTCCTCCTCATCATCATCATCATCATTATCATCATCATCATCATCATCAGCATCATCATCATCAGCAGCATCAGCATCATCATCATCATCATCATCATCATCATCATCATCATCATCATCATCATCATCATCATCATCATCCTCCCTTTCCTTCTCCTACCCCCTGTTTGCGCGATCGCCTTGGGTTCACGAGCACCCCGCAAAGCTTCACCCTCTCCCCGCGACAAGCGCGGCTGGGGAACTAGAAGCACTCAGCAAGCGGGGCACCAGGGAGAAGAAGGCGAGCTGCGGCCGACGCCGAGCCGAGCGCGGGCTACTAGAAGGAGTCACGATTCGGGAACTCTGGCTCAGCGTGTCGCGCCGCCACCTCTGGCCCACCTCCTTCGGCGCGACAAGCCGTCCACGTCCCCATCTCCAAGCGTCGGCATGCCAGGCTCTTCTCGACCTCCAGCTCAGCGGAGCGGGGCGGAGCAGAGCGACGCGCGATCCGCTTGCAGGGCATGGCGTGTCGCCGGGGCCGCCACCGCGACACGTTGAGCAGTTCACGCCCGTAGGAACTTGGTACCGCTCGGACGTGTGGTTTGTTTTCTCGGCGGGGATTATTAAGGAGCATCCTGGATCATCCTGCGAAAAAACCACGCACGAAACCAAAACAAACACAGGGAATGGACGTCCGAGCGATGGCCAGGATTGCGTGCATTTGCAGGAGAACCAAGAGGGTGCGGGATGCGGTCTCGCCCGCGATGCGCCAGCGCACAGGCAGGACGCTTCCTCAGGAGGGCGCGCTTCGGTTAGATTGCGGCGGCCGCTGAAAGGGCCGAGGCTCATGAAACAAACAGCTCGTTGAAAGAGAGGCAAGGTGCGCGTGGACCTCCTGAGGGTGAAAGTGTTGTGTGGCTGTTTACCAGCCTGGAACATGTCCCTATTCCTATGTTGGGCATCGCCTCATCACGATGGCGATCTTAGGGATTTCCTCAGTTTCTGAGGGTGTACCCCTAAGATTGTCATGTCATTTAGCATGTCAATCTTAGGGATAGGGATAGGGATAGGTTCGAGGTTGGTGAGCTGTTGCATGCAGCAACGTGTGGTATGGGTTCCTCTATAGGTGGATGAGGGCTCGACCACAGTGGAGCGCGGGGCCCCAGGGCCGATCCAAAAGGGGTAGACTCCGAGTGTATCTTCGGTTCAGTGTGGCGGTTTGGCTGCACGCACTGATTGGAACTGACGTGAGAATGTGGCAGTCGCCGGTATCAGTGGCACCGTGTGTATCTTGCATGCTCCGGCCGCCTGAGGCCCCGCCCGCCTGTGCCCTGTCTCCCCAAATTAGAGCTGTGCGTAGCCCGCCTAGCTTTTATCGGAAGAGGTTCGCTCTCGCCCCGCAGAGCCAAAAAAGTGTATCTTGCATTGAGACAAGCTCGCCTGACATTGGGTGCTCAGTCAGTGGTGCAGTGTTGCGTCCGCCCTCCTTCCCTCCTTCGGCCCCGGAGTGAAGCATCCCAACCCCCAAGAGGGGTGTGGCAGCAGGGCACTTCAGTTGGCGCAGGAGCAAGTGTGTCAGAGATGGCGAATGTGTTGTCATGACTAGCAATCGCGCGTGCAGCGTTCAGGCGGCCTGTAATTACTCGGCTGGTTGGCACCAGCTGCTTAGTAGAGGTTGAATTATCCGCGCGTTGGAAAATTAGCAATGGCACGCGGACAAAGTAGCGGTTGCGTGTTATCGAATGGCCTTTAGCCAATCTTGGCACCATGTTTGGGTTATGGGCATGAGGTTTATTAAATGTTTGTTGGGATCTCGTGGGACGCTTGTCGGGGGCCTCTTGGAGGCAGTTTTGAAGGCTTTGGGGGGCCGTTTCGGGGCCTTCGGGGGCCTCTTTTGGGCTTTTTGGTGGCCTCTTGGCTAGGGCCGTCTGGGAGCGTCGGGAAGCCGAAACGGCAATCCTTCCAAAAAAAACTGCTTGCGAAAATCAATGATTTGGGCATCTTGGGGCCCTCTTGGGAGGCCTCTTGGAGGCCGCTTGGGGCGTCTTGGGGGCCTCTTGGGCCGTCTGGGGGCAATCTTGAGCGTCTTGCAGCGATCTTTCGGCGAGTCTGGGCCATCTTGGATCGTCTAGGGTGGCCTCTTGGAGCCCTCTTGGCCCGTCTTGGGGCCCTCCTGGGCCCGAAAAATTCTTGCGCCACGACTTGGCAAAGCCCAGGGGGCAGGGGGCACGCGGGAATCCCTGGGAGATTTGTGAGAGGGAGGGGCCCCGGCCCCTACAAGATTCCTCGGAAGTTTCAGGATTGAGGCTTCGAGGATTGGGAAAAGGACCTGAGGGCACGCCCACTCCGTGCCCAGCGGCACGGTGGCGGATATTACCGTGGCACGATTACCGTGGCCCCGAGCTCGAGAGGCTTGATCGCGACGAGGCTGAATCCGTCTTGCGAGAAGGGAAGGCCACTCACAAACCCAAGCGACTAGACCCGCCTCAAAGAACGGCAAGCTGGTCGGGCGGTTTAGCTAACGAACCGAGCAAATCTACACAAACCTGAGACATCCTGAGGATATCCTTGCTGGAAACATGTATCAAATCAAGGGCGTTGGCCTTGTCTTGCGCTGGAAATCGCCGCAGGACAAGCTGTATTGCGAAGGCCTTACGGCCGGCGCCGCCGGCCCTGAAGGGGGACGACGAAGACGACGACGGCGACGACGAGAACGCTCGCGAGGGAGGAGGCGGAGGAGGAGGAGGAGGAGGAGGAGGGAGCAGGGAGGATGGAGGAGGAGGGAGCAGCGAGGAAGAGGGAGGAGGGAGGAGGGAGGAAAGGGAGCAGGGAGGAGGGAGGAGGGACCCTCGTGGGGGCCCTTGTGGGCACTGTTGGCCTCGGGACCCCACCCCCCGGACCGCCCTCCCCCGACCCCCCCCCGCCGACTTTCCCCCCCCCCCCCCGGCGGGGAAGGAATCAAACGGAAGGGGCTTCCCTTCGACTCGATTGGTGTGTTCCCCCCAGTGCGGCTCTGTGGGGCTCTCTTGGGTCGTCTTGGTAAGAGAGGATCGGGGACAACGATGCGGGGGGATAGGCAGAAGGGGGGGCGCATCGACCCCCAATCGCCCACTGATCGCCGATCGGGGCCCGATGGCCCCAACCTGCCCAGGAAGGCGCGGATTCACTATCGGAGGCCAGTCGCCGATCTATCGGTGATGTATCGCCGATACCAGGTCGATGTTTTCCCCCTATCCCTATCCCCCCGAGCGTCAAGTCGGGCATGTCCATCTGCAGGGGGAATATTCAAGAATAGTCAAAAAATAGTCAGGGGACGATTTCTTGAGTATGCTTGATCATTGTTGGGTATGTTTGGGGAACTTCTTTCGTCCAAAATCTGCCTGTGGGGGACATGCCCGTCCTCACCCTATCCCTATCCCCCCCGATCGCTGCCCCTCAGAGGAGGGGGCGTCACAACCTTTGGGACACCCCTCGGCGACCCCCCCCCCTCCAGCGGGGAGGGATTCAAAGGGAAGGGGGCTTCCCTTCGACTCGATTACGACGCTGTTCGATTTCCGCCTGGCTGGGTCGCTTGTGGAAGAGGACCCAGGGAAAGGGGGAGAGTTGCGACAGCGACAACGACGATCCGAACAGAAAACAGGAGCGGCGACGGCGACGGTGAAGACTCAAACGGAAAAACGGTTCACACATACACACACACACACACACACACACACACACACACACACGCCGGGAGGGTCGGCGGTTTCGTATGGGCCAGACCAGGGTTTGTTGAGGTAGATGCGCACTGGCACTCGAAGATACAAAACTTCGGAAGGGCAGGCTTTGGCGCGCAAGAGCGATGGCACAGCCATCCCCCGTCCCCGGTGCCGCAGAGCAGATCCGTCCATTCCAGGATACAGTTGGCGTTGAGCTGGTGCAAGATTAGCGCTCTGGCCAGTTAGTTCAAGCCTGTCGATCTTTACCATGCGGTTGCCAGGCTACTTGATCGGTTGACGCCTGGCGTCTGGGCGAATTGAACCCGAGCACGATTCGCATCATGAGCAGCACCTTCGCAAGATCCACAACCCCCAAGGGACGCCACCAAGAGGGGAAAAAAACACAGACACAATTGATTGTCGATTCCTTCGAAAGTATGGGAAAAGATGGGAAGTGGGGGGAAGACGAAAACCCAGACAATAATTATGGAAAAATATGGGGAATCCTGTTATTTGTGTGTTTTTATGTGTGTGTGTGTGTGTGCCCTTGGCCGCTTGGCATCGCTCGGACGTGTGCATTTTTCCTTCGGCGAGGGCCATCGAGGAACATCCTTGACCATTTGGCGAAAAAAACACGCACGAAACCGAAAAAAACACAAACACTGGACGTCCGAGCGATGGCGAGGCCGAGTCAGAGCAGAATGGACAGCGGGCGCCGCGTCGGCACGGCGGGAGGCCCGCTGTCGACCCTCCCTGCGCTTGTCGCGGCCGCGAGCCCTGCGAGTGGTTCGGATGCTGCTGCCCCACGACCGCGGAGCCTCGCTCCGAGGACATGACTCGGCCGACTGCGCCCTGGTTTCGACCAGAGTGGATCTAGGCCTCCAAGATGGGGTCCGAGTAGATGGGGTCCGAGGATTGCGCCGCATCGCCGATGCATCGGCGATGCGGCTCGATGTGGAGACCGTGTTTCCCCACGTCGGCGTCGCCGATGCATCGCTGACGTCGCCGATGCATCGCCGATGCATCGGCAATGCATCGGCGATGCATTGGCGATGCATTGGCGATGCGGTGCGATCCTTCGACCCCATCTAGGAGGCCTCTAGTGGAGGGACCACCATGTCGAGTGGAACGGATGGCCTCGTCACTCGAGCGCTCCTGAGCCTCGGGGTGCATCGGACCGGCAGGTGGTATGAGGCGCTTGTTGGTTCGATCCAGAGCTGGCGAAGTGGGCGCGAGGGCCGCATGATGGCCCTGATCGAGACTTCATGTAGGTCGCGGTACTGGCGTTGACCACCCAGGGGGGACTGAATGTTCGGGTCCAGGAACTAATATTTTCCCATCACAGAGTCAGGGATAGTATTCAGCGAGTTGACGTTCCCAGCAGGGGTCATCCAGTGTTGCCTACCCAGCTCCGCGCCCTCCGCGTAGGAGATCGGGTGTTGGTTGGGCCCGTGAGTGATAGCATTGGCACATATTTAGTAACCCAGTGAATCACAAAGTCGATCGACTAATCAGTTGATCGGAACCCTCGTTTTTCATTCAGTTAAGAGATGGTAAGTGGACTGGTTGAATCCGAATTCTATGTTTTGTGGCTGCTCATCCTTCTCATCCCGCCCCGCCTCCCAATGTTCCCCTTCAGCCCCCCATCGCTCCCCACGCTGGCAGTGCGCCCCGAGCCTTGTGCGATTACGCGGAGCATCCAGTCTGCGGCGTCGGATCCGCAGGCGGGGTGGGGGGGGGGGGCGCGCGCACTCGATTGGAAGGAGCAGTTGTCTCTGACTTGGTGGAGGAGGAAGGAAAAGATGAGGCCGATGGCGATGACGAGAAGGAGGAGGTTAAGGAGGAGCCCTTTCCCGAGCGAATTGCTGGGGTGCTGCTCGTGGGGACCTGGCGCTCCCTGGTCAAAAAAAATTGAACTGCGTCCCCCTGGGGTCCCCAACGGGCACGTGTCGGCAAAGTGCTGTTCGGAGGTCGAAAGACCTCCCATCCTGACACGTCGATGAGCGAATGGGCCGTTTTCGGTTCGCGAGAGGGCGTCGCGGCCGTCGGTCCGCCGGTGTCGGCCCTGGGCCGTTTTCACGAAAGGGCAGTGTGCTGCAGGGGAGGTTTGTCCACCGCCGCGCTGTGCCTCTGTGGGCGGGAGGGGAGGCAGAGCGCTGACCCCTCCCCCGCCGCCTGGGCGGTGCCGAGTGCGCACGCGCCGCGAAGGTCCTGCGCCCCCGGGGGGGGGGGGCGCGGAGCGCTGGCGTGCGCGGCGCCGAGCTGGCCGCGCCCCTCCCCCCCCGTGGGCAGGGGCCCGGCGCGCACACGTCGCAGGCGTCCCTGCGCCTTCCTGGAAGGGCACGGCGGAGCACTGACGCACGCGGCTCCAAGCTAGACCGTGCGCCCCTTGGGAGGGGGGGGGGGGCAAAGGTGCACGCATGGCAAATGATGTGCGCCCGTGGGGGATGGGCAGCAGAGCGTCGGCGCATGCGGATCCGACCCTGGCTGGGCCCCCCCCCCCCCCCCCCCAGGTGCCGCCCGCTGTGCGCATGTCGTGTTGCTGTTGCCGCGGTTCCTCTGGAGCGCTGAGCTACGTAGATCCACCCAGAACTTGCCCCAGTCTGGGAGCTGCCAAACATGCACTTGTCGCAAATATCTTGCGACCCTGAGAAGCCCAGCGGATCGCTGGGGTAATTGCACGACTCCAGGCTAGACCGCGCCCCCCTGCGGGAGGAGGGGGGGCAGGGGGGGGGAGCAGGAGAGGGGGGGGGTGCAAATGTGCACACGTTGCCAGTGCCTGCACCCCTGATGGAACCGAGCAGGGCGCTGACGCACGCAACTCCAAACTGGTCGGCGCCTCTCCCTGGGGCCGCCTGGATACAAACGTCGCCACTCTCCTGCGCCTCTGAAGAGACCCAGCGGGACGCGGACCCGAGCGAGACCAGATCCAGTTGGCTATTGCAAGACTTGCAGCATGGCCACTTCCGTGCGCCAGGGGGGGCGCCCCTTCAAGCGCATGCGAATCGGACTTTGCCTACCTCGACTGTATTACACGTGTACAACTGCCGCCACTTTGCAGCGCCGTTCGAGGGTCCAGCGGAACGCGGACCAGCGAGCATCCCGAGTTGACTTGGCCGCTTGGGTGCTGCCAAGCGTCACGAGCAGGTAGGGTGCGTCTTTGGGTGGATTGTGCCAGGGATGGTGGGAGTGCCCACACATTGTACGAAACACAGGTTCCGTCCTTGCGAACACCACGTGAGCAGTGTTTATGGAACGCTGCGTGTCCTTCACATGTTCGATGAGGATGACGGGTAGAAAGGGAGTTGTTTGTTGCAAATTGCATGGCGGTGTGGAGGATTGTGCGGAACCCAGGGCAGAGTGTTAGTCTGAGGGAG